TCTCTCTTCTGCCTCATTTATTCTAGCAGTTAGTGCCCCCATTTTTGATTGCACCTCATTAATAGCCTTTTTGATTTCTACTTGGTTGGATTTTAGCTCTTTTACTTCTCCAGAAAGAGTTTCTCTAATAACTTCCATATTTTTTTCAAGCCCAGCTAGTATCTTTAAAGTGATGATTCTGAACTCTAGATCTGACATCGTACTAATGTCCGTATTGAGTAGGTCCCTGGCAGTCGGTACTGCCTCTTGTTCTTTTTGTTGAGGTGATTTTTTCCGTCTCGTCATTTTGTGCAGAGGAGAATAGATTAATGAGAGAACAAAATGCTAGCAGAGTAACCACGTCCCCAGAAAATATACTCTAAACAAATCAGAAAAGACCTGAAGCAGTGGGATAAGAAGGGGAAAGAGAGAAAAAAAAAAAAAGAAAAAAAAAAGAAAAAGATAAAGATAAAAACAACAACAAACAAAACAAAAGAACAACAACAAAAGAAAAACCAGAATGTGATCAAATATGATCTATATGGTATATAGATCAGTGCCACACACTAGATTTGGGGTGTGTTTTGGTCTTTTAGAAGAAAGTGTCTCCCAAAATTTTAAAGAAAGAAAAACTTATATATGTACAAAAATAAGGGTTGATATGATGAAGGGATGGAAAATGACTGTAAAAATGGAAATTATAAAAAATTTTATAAAAGGAATTGATAAGAAGTTGTTTGAAAAAAGAAAGAGGATTTAAAAAAAGAAAAAAGAAAAAGAAAAAAAAAGGGAGAGGATGTGATCAGGCAGGGGAATAGAGAACACCATATACTAGAGATTTAGGGTATATTTTAATCTGTTAGAAGAAACTATCTCAAAATTTTAAAGAGAGAACAACTTATATATATAAGCCAAAAATATGGGTAACTACTATGAAGGGATAGAATATGACTCTAAAAATGAAAAATAAAAATGTTTTTTTTTAAAAAAGGGATTGATAAGATGTTGTTTGAAAAAGGGAAAAAGAAAAATTCAAAAAGAAATAAAAAGACAAAAAGACAGTTAAAAAAAAAATTAACTTTAAAAGACTAAGGAATCGTGGTAAAAAAGCCGTGACTTCTATGTGCAGTAGTCCCCTAGCGCTGGAGTTCTGCCGTTCTCATTGATCGGTAAACTTGGTCTTGGCTGGCTGTTCTCGCTGATCTTCTGGGGAGGGGCCTGTTGCCGTGGTTTCCAAATGTCTCTGCCGGAGGCGGAATAGCCCCGCCCTTGCCCCCTCCCGGCTAAGTAATCTGCTCGGGTTTGCTCTCCGGGGCTTTTGTTCCCTGCGAGCTTTCCGTACAGCTTTGGAGGCGGAGAGTGAAAATGGCGGCCTCCCAATCTCCGCCCCGGAGGAGCCGAGAACTCGGGCCCGCTCCTCAGTGAGCCCCCAGAGAAAAGCCGTCAGTCACTCCCGTCTCCCCGGTCTGCAGCTGCACTCCGTGCTCAACCGGCCTGTGACCACGCGTTTCTATCTCTGGCACCGGACCCGGTCTGGAGTCTCCAAACCCAGCAGATCCCTGCGGTGCACTCCCGCGCGGCTCCTCCCGGGGGAGGAAGGTGAGTCTCCCCGGATCGGCCGCTTGTTGGGTCCCTGCTGGAGGAGCAGGGGCCCGACTGTGCCGCGGATCGCGGTTAATGGCAACCCCAGCTGAGAGCCCGCGCCTGGGCTCCGCCTCTGCAGCCGGCTTCCCCGCTCCGATACCTGGGAGCCCTGCTGCCCTCAGGCACCCCCGGTCTTTCTGTGACCCCGAGGGTCCTGAGACCACACTGTCCCGGAGGGTTCCACCCCCCGCTGAGCCACCAGAGTGACGTCCCTCGGCGGAGCAGACTTTTAAAAGTTCCGATTTTGTGCTCCGTGCTTCTATCACTTGCCAGAAGCGGCCGACGGAGGCCCCTCCCCCGCCGTCTATCCTCCCGAATATCGCCTCGGATTCACTTCTCCGCACGTCCTACCTTCCAGAAAGTGGTCGCTTTTCTGCTGAGACAGTTGTTGCTCTTCTTTTCTTGGATCTCCTGTTGAGTTTGTAGGTGTTCAGAATGGTTTGATCCCTATCCAGCTGAATTCCTGAGAGGAGACGAAATCCAGGTCTCCTACTCCTCCGCCATCTTGCTCCGCCCCCCCCCTTTTTTTGAAATTTTTAATTTAATTTATTTTAATTAAAATTCAATAACAGAAAGACCTTTGGGAAATCTCCATATACAATTGGCCCTTGAATAACATGGGGGGTAGGGATGCTGACCCACCACACAGTCAAAAATCCACATATAACTTTTGACTCCCCCAAAACTTAATTACTAATAGCCTACTGTGACTGGAAACCTTACCGATAGCATAAACCGTCAAATAACACATATTTTGTATGTTATATGCATTATGAACTGTATTCTTTTGTTGTTGTTGTTAGATATACTCTTAAAAAGACTTAGCTACAATAATTTAGATATAAAATTTCATATGTGTTTATTTATTTATTTTTTTAAAGATTTTATTTATATTATTCATGAGAGACATAGAGAGAGAGAAGCAGAGGGAGAAGCAGGCTCCCAAGGAGCAGGGAGTCCGATGCGGGACTCGATCCCAGGACCCTGGGATCATGACCTGAGCCAAAGGCGGACGCTTAATCCTCTGAGCCACCTAGGCGCCCTCACTGTGTGTTTATATGGCATACTTTCACTAAGAAGATAAGATGTTTGGATTTATTTTAAATAAAATTGATAATGAAAAGAATAATCAGAAAAATAAATCAACAGGAAACACATTTTTCCATGTGTGTCACAACCTAAAATATATGTTCCTATTTCCTTAACCACGCATTTTCAAAAAGGCTTTTGGTAGCTTACAAAATTGTTATACCTAATTATCCATAACCATAATATTCCCTTATAAAATTGCTGTCCCTTATAACTGTTATTGTCATTTCCTTATTGACATCAGAACATTTACAAAGTAATTGATCTATCCTACCTATAATGGCAATGTCTACTATAGACATTCTGGCAAAATGTTAACAGCTCACAAAGAGACAAAATATATAAAATCACTTAACAAATTTCATAGCATAACGATCAAGTATAACTGCAAAATTAGAATGCAGCCATTATAAAAGAGTGAACAGTGACCTAAAGGCAATGATTGCTATCTAGGTTATCCATGCTAATCTCTGAACAGAATCTCTTCATTATGAATGAGTAGCTTTCATTTTTTTTTTTTTGAGAATGTTATCTAATTAACACCTACACTTCTTTCATGTTTCCAGTACTATTATAGATTATAATACCATAATACCATCAACTTGTATCATTGCTATTACTGCAGGAGCAGAGGTACAAATACCCAGAGGATGTGAGAGAAAAAGAAAATTATTTCCCATATCCATCAAATCCTATCTCTGAACTTATGTTCATATCTACTGGCATTATATCTAGTGCCATGTTACTTATGAGGCACATGCAGTTTGCATGGGGCTGCACCTGTTAAAAGCTGAGTCTTCACTGGAGAATGAGAAGTAAAAGCATTACTCTTTAAAAATCAGGGTTTATCATAGAAAGTAACCTTGGATGCTAAAGATTTTCACAGGAAATTTTAACTTAAGTCCACCAGTGGTTAAAATTTTGAGACTAGGGTTATAGAGAATTGAGACAGGCAACCAAGATATCCTGCACAAGAGTACTGTAGGCAAATATGCTCAAGACTGTATTGATTCATTGACTTACCTGAGACAGATACCATGTTGCACCAGTCAATGACTTTATAGAGTAGATAGTAAAATGAATGCACTCATCAGATATGTGAGAATCACAGTCTGAAATCTTTTTAGGAATAAAAATTTTTATTCCTAATTTGAAGGATACAGAATAAAAAAGGTACCTTTTCAATTTTGTTACAAAAATTTATTTCTATGTTTGTTTATTTATTTGTTTCTGTATTGATTTTAAATACAAGTAAAATATCTCTTATTGTAATTCATTGTGAATGATATCCATGCTATTCTGATAACTACTTTGCTATTTCTTAAAAGTGGAAAAAGTTAGATTGGTTGTCATCTGAAATCCACAAATACCAATGATTTATAGAAGTCCAATATTACATTGACTTAATCTAATAATCAGAATGAATGCTAAAAAGACCAGAAGCTTCCCACAGCGTTTCAATGTTCCTTATTAACTGTTCATTGACAATAAAATTATTTATCTTCTGAGAATCCAAAGACAAATTTTGACATATTCACCAAAACAATTATTGTCTTATTACATTTTCTAAAGAGCCATCAGAAGCATAATTCACTTTTTGAGCAAAATGTACACACATTTCTCTTGTTACAAGAGAAAATAATTGCTCTTCTAAAGTTGATCATGAAAACACAAAGTGTATTCTATATACTAAGGTAGTATCCCCTCCTTCAAAATCTTCCCTTGGTTGTATTCTTACTAATTCTAAGCTAATATCCTTCTGAAATTTGGGGCTTCAACCTACATAATAAGGACCCAGGACTTAACAGAGAGAGAAAAGGAATCACCTATGAGAAACAAATTTAAGTAACATGAATTAACTTTTTATGGACGACTTTGAATGATTATCAGAATGCTTTCCTTTAACCTAATTATCTAATTTCATGAGCCTAACAGTGTCTAACTCAGACTCTTGAATGAAAGAATAAAGGTAATGGGTTTTCATTGCCTTTTCATCATCTCCTCTTCAATATGGAACAGGCTATATAGAAGCCAGAAAAAGTTTTAAAAAGGGCTATTTAGGGGAGGAAGCATGGAATCAGAGCTGGTTTATAGTGATACTAAAACAAGTTGACCTATCTTGTAAAATGCTTTTTAACACAGTGAATGACTCAGGACCAAAAGACACTATACTCTAGCTGACCAGTAGCATCATTTCCAAAAGGGCAATGTACACACACACACACACACACACACACACAAAGAGTTCCAGAGATAAAATGGGGAAAAAAAAAAAAAAAAAACCTTACTGAAAAGTCTTCAAAGATTTTCTTGAGTTCTTTGTGACCATGCCTTTCAGCAATATGTGTTGGATCTGAACCCTCTAGATTTTTCATCGTAGACGCCCAGGTTGCTCCTGAACATTGAAGCAAATGAATAGCCAAGTTCTTCAAACCAAATTTTGCTGCACAGTGGAGAAGAGTTGTGAGTTCTTTGAAATGAGTATCTGTAAGCATAAGAGGTAAAAGGATTAATATGTTTTTATCATGTCTGGAATTCCATAAGAAGAAGTCAAACACAATCTACTAAAAGTAATTCTCATAAAGTAGAACAGACTTTCAGTGTGATTTCACATATAAGAAACCATCAGTGGTTTTAACAATGAGGCATCTCCTCCTTCCTATTTCTCATCATACAATAAATATAAACTGATATTCTCACTAGCATTAATGCCCCCATCTTACTTGGGGGGTAAGTTTAATTTGGAAAGGCATATCAACCCCTTAAATACAAAATAAAACAGAACACAAATATCATATTGTAATAACTCTTTTTGAATATATTTCAACATTAGCCAAACACTAACAATATTAAATAGGTCCATCTATAAAACCTTTCTGTGTTTTCTACTGCCATGCCTAGTTCGCTGCCTTCTGAAGGTCAAATGGACACATAACTGCTGGAGGGGTTATATTAGATTTCTATGTGAATTTTTTCTTTCAAAAAGGAACTGCAACAGAAAATACAGGTGAGCACTTTTATAAACATCTTCAGTATGGAAATTTCCATCAGAATTTTACAGCTTTCATGTCAATGTTTCAGAGTTTGAGTTTCATAATTAGTTATTAGCTATCAATTAGGAGTATTAATTATGTATAACTATAAAGTGGTGAGTGTAAACTGCTATCTCAATGAAAAAACACACATACAGAGATGAGTGATGGTTTGTTATTATTCTATACTTTCACACCTAGCTGGAAAAAATGTGTCACAGAAATTACATACCAGCTTGCTTGAATAGCTGTGGCATTATCGGAAGCATGCAATGGGAAGACTTATGGCAACCGAAACAAAGGTGTCAAAGCAAAAGTCAGTTTTCTTCCATAATGTTTTGGAAAACTGAATCTGGCTTCATTTACCTCTTTGCTATTTTGTAGACTAAAGCAACAAAAAAGGAAATGAGGAAATGAGATGTTGAGTTTTCAATTCACTTGGGTGTTTCAGGGTGTTATTTAGTTTGTTGGTTTGTATGTTTTAACAGAAAACAAAACAAAGCCCTCCAGGATACATTAATAACTTTGCTGTAAGGAAATATTTTACCCTTCAAAATGTGTTAGTACTAAATGGCTATAGGTAAATCCCATGGTTGTATTTCAGTGATAAATGCACTGGTCCCTTCTTATGTGGTATGCAGTGGGTCAAAATTTATCAAATATTTTATGAAGATGAACCTGTGAAAGCTGAAACTGTCTAAAGTAGGTACCATCTTCAAAATAAAAGTGTAGTTACTTAAGGTATTAAGATATAATTTTTTATTTATTTTCATTAAAAGGCACCATGAAATATAATTTTCTGCTATAATTAAACCAGGGCAAAGTTAATGAAGAAAAATATTTACATGATAATGTCAGATTTCTACATACCCTTGATCATCTCTCTCATTGACACATCATACAATAAACAAAAAACATCACCTGGAAATCAATGCTTTATGCATTATTCCTGCACACTATTATTCTGGTGAACTTTTAAATCACTGTCAATGCAACTTAAAATGTTTTTATCATTAAATAAATGTTTAATCATTATGGGAACACAGTCACCTTTTAACCTCACCAAACCCCGGTCAGTAAATCCCTCAAGTTTAGGATAATATAATAGAAACAACAACAACAAACTTCATTAAGAATCTCTCTTGTACATCAAAAAGAGTAACTAGGACTATGATAAGTGGTCATGGTTTTTCAGGCTACCTTTCTTAACAGTCGTGCTACTCTGAACCGTGCTTTCTGATATGTAAATGGAAGAAGTTCTGTTGATTTAAGATTATAGTGATAGTAAAGGGTGCTACAAGTTTGAAGGTTGGCTTCTTTATTTTCCATTTCTCTACTTCATTTTTAGTAGTAGCTTAAAATCCACTAATCTACTAGAATACTTTGTGAGGTTACAGACATGAAAGAGCCTTAGAGGGTATCTTTTCAGTTTCCTACCCAGTAATAGAATTGTATTCCTATGTGTAAGACTCTTGAATCACAGACCTGTACCTCTGAAACAAATAATACATTATATGTTAAAAAAAAAAGAAGAAGATAGCAGGAAGGGAAAAATGAAGGGGGGGAAATCGGAGGGGGAGACAAACCATGAAAGACCATGGACTCTGAGAAACTGAGGGTTCTAGAGGGGAGGGGGGTGGGAGGATGGGTTAGCCTGGTGATGGGTATTAAGGAGGGCACATACACTGCATGGAGCACTGGGGGTGTTATATGCAAACAATGAATCATGGAACACTACATCAAAAACTAATGATGTAATGTATGGTGATTAACATAACATTAAAAAAAAAAGAATTGTATTCCTAGAGCTCATAAGAGATGATCTGGGTTCTACTTGCATACCTCTAATGACAGAGTGTCCTTTACTTCCTAAGGCAGCCTGTGTCTTGGTTAGACAACACTGATTATTGGACAATTCTTACTTCTCTTGAGGTGAATTGTATTTCCTCTAAATATCCTTTGGGCAATATAGAATATGATAGTCACAAATGCACAGGCTTAGAGTCGGTATTCACTATGTGAACTTCAACAAGCTACTAATTATCTGAGCCTAGCCTTCTCTTCCAAATTTGTAGGGCTATTGAGATAATTAAGTGACGTAACACAGAAAAAGTGCCAGCGAGTGTCTGAAACATAATAGGCATTCAATAAATATTCTCTCTTCTGTGTCAATAGTTTAAAGCATTCTTGTCCTAAATCATCTTTGTTCCAACCATAAGATCCCTAATTCTTTTCATTATTCCAAAGTACTAACCATCCTGAGAGCTTGACCCCAGAATAGTTGGTCCTTTATAAAATGATGAAACAGTTTTAAATTGGCCTAAATGATCATTTACAGCAACCCTTTTTATTATCTTGGATGAGGTTATTTTGCCTGCTTATTTTCATTAAGTTGGAAATGCTCAGCCTGCTAATACACATGACCAATAACTAAAAAATTTTTAAGTTTTTAAAATTAAAATATGACAGAGTTAACCTTTCAAAGAATTTGAAATGATTCACAGGCACTATGTTAGTTATTTTAATGCTAATTAAATCATGATCTTTAGCATTATTTTTGTAGAACATCAAATTAAATATACTCAGCATGTGGATATAATATTATATTTCTATATATGAATAAAGATATTCATATCAATACAGGTATGATTATGCTAAGAACTAGTTCAGGCTTTTATGTATACTTTTTGTAAAACCATACTTTTTATATTTTCACCTTGATTTAATTATTATGAGAATTTGAGATATGAATGGATTCCTCTGTATCTGGAACAGGCAAGTTTGTAATATTTATGTTTCTAGGGATTAAAAATTTTTTTTATAAAAATATAATTTAAAATTGCACTGATGAGTTTGATGAGTTTTAACAATTATATACACCCATGTAACCACCACCCAAAACAAGCTAAAGAAAGCTTGTATCACCGCAGCAAATTCTCTCATATCTCATTCTAGTCAATTCTCCACTTCAGAAGCAACTACTTTCTAATTTTTATCAACATAGGTAAGTTTGATTTCTTCTTGGATTTCATATAAGTGGAATCACATATACATGTGTATTGCATTATTTTCTGGCCCTTTTTTTTGATGAGAAGTCAGATATCATTCTTCTAATTGTTTTCCTGTATGGAATGTGCTTTCTCCATCACAAACTCCTCACCCTCTCACCCTCCCCACCCACAGCTACTTTTAAGATTTTATTATTATTTTTGATTTTCAGCAGTTTAACTATGGTGTGTGTAGGTATATTTTTGTATTTATTCTGCTTGGGGGTTATGGGGCTTATTGAATCTGTGGATTGAAGTCATTCATCAACTTTGGATCATTCATGGCCATTATTTCTTCAAATATTTTTTTGCCTCATTCTCTGTCACCTTTACTAAGGGACTACAATTACACATATGTTAGATTATTTAATATTATCCTATACAGCTTGGATTAGAATTGAGTCAAATTAATATGTAGATGAATTGAGCTTGTTCTTTTTTATGGTTTTACTTTGAGTCTAGATTTTTCATCTCTTTTTCAGTTTGAATAAGCTATTTGGACTGTCTTCAAGTTTACTGATTCTCTTTTCTTCTTTGTTGTTTCTACAATTAAGGCTATTTAATTTTTAAAAATTTTCTGATATTGTATATTTCTAGGATATCCTTTTTTATTATAATTTCTATTGCTCTGATAAAATTGCCAACTTTTTACACATTTGCCAACTCTTACAATAGATTCTATAACGTTTTTATCATAGTTAATGTTCCATCTGATAATTTCAACATCTGGAACATTTCTGTGTCTGCTTCTAATCACTGTCTCTTTTCTTGACCAAGGGTCACCTTTTATTCCTTCTTCATATTTCTTGTAATTTTTTATTGTACACTGAACATTGTATTATAGAACTGAAATAAATAACGTTTACCCCAGAATAAGGCACACCATTTCCTCAGTCAGACAATTACACTTGGGAACAGAGTGAAACTTATCTGTCAATGAACTAACTGAGTTTGGTCATTTTTGTGTCTTTACTTAGCTTCCATTAACAACTGGCCTCAAATATTTTGAGGGCAGGATCACAGCTTTCTTCAGCACAGGCTGGGATCTGAGCCCTACTGAGACACAAGAAAACTCAGCTGCTGTACAGACTGGCTGTCAGCTTTTGGGTCACCAGATATTCTTCTTTTTCTCCAGTCCCGCCTCCAAACTTCACATCAGCATATCTCTCTCAGATTTTGTGGGGCTTCTGTAGTATACCGAGTTAGGGCAGACTCCTTACCATCCCAATAGCTTGGAGGTATTTCTTCCAGCTTTTATGCCTCTCTCTACTTAGAACTTGCTTTCCATATGGTAAAAGCTTTGGTGGGATTTGTCTCAGCAAACTGTCCCCCTTTCACTCTTCAGCAGCCATTAGTAGACTTTTAGGGAAGACTCGGGATGTTTTTCAAGGACCCCTCTCAGTTTT